ATGGAGGAAAAGAATTTCTTCACAAATTACTTTTAGGACATTTAAGTGGAATTGAATTAGAATGTCAAGGGCCAGAGAGCTCTCGGGAGGTCATTTGATATAGTCCTCTGTTGCTGGGCAAGGGCACAGATGTGAAAATCAAGCCTTCATTTAAAAGGTCTCTTGGGAAGCAAACGTTTTACCTATGCACCAATTCTTGTCTTGCAAGAAGGGCTAGAGGACCTTGTGGAATTCAAGAGATATTCATTAAAATGCAATATAATCCATGAATCAGTTTTTAAAGATGCATTTCCATTAGATTTACTTATTTTGTGTGTGTGTTTTGCCTGCATGTATGTCTGTGCAGAAGAGGGTGTCAGATCCCCTGTAATTGGAATTAGAGATTGTTAGTTGCCATGTAGGTGCTGGGGATTGAATCTGGGTCCTCTAACAGAGCAGTTCATGCTTGTAACCTCTAAGCCATCTCTTTAGATTCAGTCATTAAACAGTTTTATAATTAACATTTAATTACTAAAGCCCTGTTATGTGTCAAAGACTATCCTAGATATTAGAGACATATTGGTGTACTTATACCAGTGGGTAAAGAATCAGTAATAAGAAAATTGAAGAGTTTGTTAGATATCAATAAATTCATTTAAAAATGGAAAACACTGCATTAGGTAATGATAATGGGTTCCATGGGCCATATGTGTGCAAAAAATAAAATAAATAAATAAATAAGGATTTAAGGCAGAAAGGGAGATTAACAGGGAGAAGGCCAGAGGGGAGTGGAGGCAGAGGGCAAATAGGACCAAGAGACATTGGGCACATCTACAAAAATTTCAAAGAATAAGACTGTATTTCATAAAAAAATAGAAGTGACAAAGCATGTGTAGAGTGGGGTACTTCTATAAATGTATAAACATGGGAGACTTACTACACACTAAAAGCTTAGAATGGTAACTGGCATAATAATTTTTTTCATAAATAATGTATATAATATATAATACATATGAAACTTTGTTAGTCTCTTATATTCAGTGGGGTTGTTTGGTCATAATAAATACAGACTAATCTTGCTTAATTTAGGCAAAGTGAAATCTTTTTTGGGGGGTAACACAGTTCTCTTTGAAGAACAAGAATCAGTAGGAAATGGATGCTACCAGGAATGAGCCCCAGTATCATCCACCCAGGTCTAGGGAGGATGGGGGAGTAAAGGAAAATTTCAGAAAGAAAAAAGATAACAAGAAGATGCATAGGGTGAAAAGATCAATGCATCCAGGTTAATAGTCTGAGCTAGGCCAGAAGGATGGATTTGGCTTAGAAAGAACAGCCAGCCAAAGCCCAGTAGAATGACAAGGTTAACTGGGTGAGTTCTGAATTAATAACATCTCATCTACACAGCTCTATACTACACATGGTGTTTGCTAGAGATGAACCACAAATATGAAGCACACACTGCCTATTGGATGTGTAGTGAACTGTACCATACATATAGCTCTATGTAGACACATTCAATGTGGCCATACAACAACATCATCTATCCACACATCTCTTAGAATTTATTCCTGTTACCAAGCAATTTGTGGCTACACTGTGATTTCCCCCACCAAAAAAAAAATTACTAATTTATTTGGAAATAGACAGACTACAAACAAAAATTGCAAATTTACTATGAGACACATTCAGGAGGATTGTGGGACATTAGGGAATCTCTGAGTAGAAAATTGTTGCTTTGCAGGTAGCCCCCTAATAATAGAAACCACACGTAGCTTTGGAATCTTTTCTAGCAGAACAAAAGCACAGTGCATTTGGCTTTGCCCTCCTCACCCCCAGTGTTACCTTGGTTGGGATTTGTATGTCCACTATATAGTCTATCTCTGACATGAGAACTTATTGACTACAGAGCAAAACATGGTCTATTAAAATTTGCTGCAGTTAGTGTAAGAACATAATTAGTAATTCACTGTAGTTTTCAAAAACTTTCTCATATGAGACATAATAATTAAGCAGGTGGCAATTCTGCTTGAGTAGTTTAAACACTTGATTTGTCCCCTTGAGCTTCTCCCAATATGAAGGCTGCGTCTGTTTGCCACATGAACTCATTTGTGCATTCCAATTCCATTTCCAATCTCAGTACACAGTGTTTCTCTTCTCATGGAACTTCTGGGGCAGAAATCCCACAGGCTTCAAGGAATCATGATTACTTTGGGTGTCAAATGATGCAGGTGTGTGGAGATTTAGAGGCAGAGTCTGAATAGGACGTAGAAAGGGATTCTAATATAGTAGTCCAGAGAGATTTACTTTTTTATATAACCAAATGAGTTAGTGGTATATATGGACATACAGGATTCACATTATGTTTAATTTTCTTCAGTGTCCTTATGAAGAAACTAGCAAGAGAAATAGTTGTCTCTTCCCTCGTGGTTTCACTTAAACAGGGGAGAATTACCAATCAACATTTAGGTCCTTACACCGACGGTCTGCTTATTTTAGCTGCATGGCTCCAAGTTAGTTCAAGTTAGGATCTTCTGCTGTGAAGCGCTGGGATATTTAAAGCTGCTCAAATAGTAACCCGCTACCCAATATAGCTTTTACCACACTTAGGAAGTCCTTAAAGGGAGACAATAGTCTAACAATCTTATGGGAAGAAAAAAATCTCAGCCAGATACATCACCTGTCTGCTATAGGCTTAGAAGCCAAATATCCTGGACTGACTACATAGAGACTTCAGGGACAAAATGGAATTCTGAGATGATATTCACTCCTGTTGAGTATGGTATAGTTGCTTATGCTGGTAGGTTGTGGTATGTTGAGACCGTTTCATGTGTTAACTCATCTAAAGATCTCATAACCACGCTCCGAGTAGACAACTTTCTTGTCCTGATTTTGTAGATATGGAAACAGAGGCCCATAGTTGTTAAATGACTTACTTATTTCATTATAAAATGAGAAATGTCATTTGGTTGCAAGCTGTCTGGCTTCAGAGGTCCTCTCCTCTGCCACAGAAAACTTGACTTTCACAGTTGTTTCTACCGTGCTAGATTTGAATTAAAAAGACAACTAGCACAGAAACTTCAAAGGTGCATCAGGTGTGTGGGGTTCTGGTAACTCTTTGGTTACCAGCATGATGCTGAGGCTGGGTCTACCTTCCAGCAGTGGAGTCTTCTACAAGAGCACATTGTAAAGGTGGGTGGTGTGACTTCTGTGCTCTCAAAGGCAGTTCTGATGGTTGGGTATTGTGGGACTCATCATCCCTACACTAAAGAGACTGAAGGACGAAGGACTGCAACAAGTCCAAGGCCATCCCGGGTTACCAGTTTAGGCTGTAAATATAGGAAGACATTGCCTCAAAACATAAAAATGGAAGAAAACCAAACTGGGCTTTTAGGCACTTGGCCTTTATTGCTACAGAGAGGAAATAAGGAAAGGACAGACACACAGGCAGAAAAGCTGGGATCAGACAGACTGGGTTGTCCGGTGGAGAAGCTGCAGCCCTCCAGAAGCTCAGCCTGTTCGTGATATATATGATATGTAGCTGGTCAGGGATGCCGGGTTATGGTTCACAGCTGAACCAAGGAGGCAGGTTAGCTAATCTCAGTAGGAGCAGTCTCTGGAAGGAAGCAGTCTGTAAGTACCCATGGTGGGAAGAAAGCCATGATGTTAACATCCATACTGGGATGTTAACCGGGAAATAAGGCTTTGGCATTTCCTTGAGCCTAGCCCTGGAGTCAGCCATTTCTCATGGGGGCTGAAGCTTTGGGGCCTTGACATGGCCATGGACATGTCAACAGCACAGATCAACTAAGGTCTTCATTCACTCAGGGCTCCTCTGATCCCTGTACCAAAGAATCCCTTCACCACACAGAATGACTAGTTTATTTTAAATTCATAGATTTTCACAGATATACCAAGGGCAATTTCATTCTTTTTTAGAACTATATTTTCACAAAATGACAATAATTTGAGGCCATATAAGAATAATTAAATTTAGGAAATGGTGATTCTAACCCAAAGCCTGCATTTTGCTGGTATAAAAGAGGCTGAGGCAGAAAGATTATGAGTTCAAGGCCATTCTAGGCTTTATAGCAAGACTCTGTATAAAGGAAAAAGGGAGAGGGGCAGGGCATGGATAGGAGAGGAGCCAGGAGGGAGACCTAAATTTTCTAGATGATGTATTTAGAGTAAATACGCTTACAATAGCCTGCTAAAGGCAGCACAGCTAGCAGTGGACAATGGCTTTACTCTCTGACATCTTACTACGTAGTAGGTTCTATTCCAAGCACTATCCTGGGGCTGAAGTCTAATTATAGCTTATAAGGTGAATATTATTGCTGTTTCCCACATTTTACAGAGAAGGAAACTGAGGTTTAGAGACAACACAGTTTGTACTGAGATCAAATATCTGGTAAGAGGTAGAGTTGGGTCTCAAATGCCAGATTTCACCATTCTCAAGTATACTACAAAACTGTCCGAGTTATGTGAAGGGTAGGCACTTAATTACCAAACATGTCTATGCCCATATTCTTTCAAGATCACTCAGTTCCTGATGTCTCTGGATATTAAGAATCCATAAAACATGGGCAAAGTAGAGAGTGTTAATGTTGAAGTTCATCCAAATAAAATGAATACTTAAGTTTCCAGCTATTAATATACCTTCACAGTAACAAGTACTCTTGAGTTGCATGTGATAATGTCATTGGACCAGAAGATTAAATTTAATGGTACTATGACGATGTTTTCAAAACAATGTGATGTAACTTGTTATATGAGCCAAACACAAATTAACTTCTCTAAGGATTCTCCTCCTCAACCTCCACGCATTCAGCCCACATCTTGTTTTGTATTTTTAAGTTTTGCTAGACACTGACAGTACTTCAATAACAAATAACAGCCTTTAGGTAAGTCTTTTTATCATGAGGAGAATCTCATGGCTCCTTTATACCATGCCTTGATTAACAGCCATCCTTTGGTGGTGATAAAATAAAGCCAAGTTAACAGTAGTCTGCTTTTTCTTCCAGGGGAAGATGGTGGCTGCAGGAGAAATAACCAGTGCTATCGTTATCTCCTGAAAAGGAGAGGCCGGTGGAGCTGAGAAGACAAGAAAATGTAAGTGACAGATTCTACCCCATGTCCTGGGGTTTCCATCATTAGTCTTGTGAGACAAGCATGATGATCCCCAATTTATAGACTCGGGAAACTGAGACTGAGATGATATGCCCCGGAGGTCAAAGTCAGAAGTGGAATCCGGTCTCACATCCACAGCTGTCTGCCCTTAAATTCCTCTGTGCGTGTGTGTGTGTGTGTGTGTGTGTGTGTGTGTGTGTGTGTAGAGGGAGGGAGGGAGGGAGGGAGGGACAGAGAGAGAGAGAGAGAGAGAGAGAGAGAGAGAGAGAGAGAGAGAGAGAGAGAGAATGTGTGTATGGGGTGTTTGTGTAGGTATGGGTGTGGGATGTGGAACTCAGGATAATTCCCACTTTGTATGCAGCAGGTCTCACTGCTGCATAGAGCAGCCTGTTCTTCAAACTTTCCAGGATCCTCATGTCTCCTTCTTCCATCTTCCCATAGAAGCACAAACATTATAGATGACTTTATTACTGTGTTTGGCTTTTATATGGTGTCTAGGGAGATAAACTGAGGTCCACACACTTGTGTGGCAAATGCTTAACACACTGAACTGTCTCCTTCCTATAAATCCTTACATTCCTCCCCAGCTGGCACAGGAGACTTGGCAATGGCGGAATGGTCCTTGGAGCAAAGACATCGCCAAGGCTGATCTTCTCATTACTTCAGTTTCCTAAACAATTTTTGTAATTAAAGAGTTGAGTTAATTACTAATGAGGCACCTGGCCCACAGTTCACATAGACCCTACTTGTGCTGTGTTTTCCTCTGTCTGAGTGGAAAGTTCTGCAGCTTCATTTTCCTCTTATTTCCAGAAAAGGTCTGGACTATTGACCAGCACCTGGCAGCCTGGACTTGGGGTATAATCATTGCTCTAATTAAGGGTTCTTATTCAGGCCATCTGCTTTGCTTTCCCATTCAGATATATTACAGCAAAGGCTTTATCAGCTGGAGGTAGGACATAGGAATCTCAAAAATGAACAATCTGCAGCAGTCACACTGATATGTCATAGCTCAGAGCTATGGTTTGTTTCGTCCTTTGAAATGGCTCTGCCAATGTCTAATCATTAAGGAAGGGACTCTAGCATCCACATTTCCCCTAGGGTGGTCTCTAGCTGCCACACTATTGTTTGCAAGACCCCTCCTAAGAGTCTTTCCTGAGTCTCCAGCACACCATCACTCCATCCCCAGGCCTTGGTTGTGTGTTGGAATTACTTTGGTGGGAGTCTCCAGCACAACCTCAGTCCATCCCCAGGCCTTGGTTGTGTGTTGGAATTACCTTGGTGGGCTCTTCTTTGCCATTGTTTTAGCTGGTGTCACCTGTGAAGAGACTTCTTCTCTGTGAAGAATGATCTGCTATGTAACCTTACTGTGTCTCATCTTTAGATTATTGAGTGAAGACCTGCTTGACTCTCCTGGGAACAGCCCCATTACTAAGAGGCATGTGCTCTGAAATCAGGGTAGACAGCCCTGGAACAGTCCTGCCAGGCAAGGGGTGGGGACTGAACCGTAAATGCAAACTCCATCCTTCTGTCTGTCCATCTGTTTGTCCCTCCCTCTCTCTCCCCTTTCCTCCCTCCCTCCCTCCCTCCAACCATCCCTCCTTCTTTCCCTTTCTCTCTCCGTGTGTGTGTGTGTGTGTGTGTGTGTGTGTGTGTGTGTGTGTGTGTATGTGTGTGTGTGTGTGTCCACTATCTTGGTTTCTGACAACAGAATTACATCCTAATTATTAGGGGGAGAAAGATATGTAATGGAAAGGGTTACTGGTGGATTTATTATTACCTGGATTGAGTGGCAACTAAATTCTGAAATTTCCATTAACCATCAGAGGCTCCCCTTTCTGGTCTCACACTCACTGGCATGGGTCCAGTCCTACATCTTCCACCACACCCCCACTCCCTTCCCCAGCAGCATTCTCTTGTTCCCATTGCTTCTCACTAATCTCACTCATCCTAGTATTCCTCAGCTCAAAGGAATATCCTGAGGAAACATGCTAAGGTCCTCAGCCCAACTGTACCATGCTTTAGGAACTGTTTAATGTTCTTGTCCCTGCTCACATTGCTCACTTTCATCCCAACACCTTCTTTCTCTTGAACTCTGCTTTCTGGGGTTGCCAGTAACCATCTTGCTTCTGGACCTTAGCACCTGCTCCTTGATATGCCTCCCATTCCTCCCTGGCTCCCACCTCCAAGTCACTAAGACTAGCATCTGTTCATTTCAAGTTACAGTGCTTTCCTTCTGAAACTTCTATATAGGTGTGGGGCCTCTGATACCTTATACTTTCCACGACAGCAGGCAGGTTTCCCCAATATCCACCTTACCAGTTTGCCTTCCCATTAACTTTGCATAGTGCTTGGCACTATGTTGTCAGCCAGGAGTTGTTGTTTTGTTTTTTGTTTTGTTTTTGTTTTTAATGTTATGTGGGTGCCCCAGGAGCCAGAAGAAAGGTTTAGATCCCCTGGAACTAGAGTTCCTGGTGTTTGTGAGCCAATTGATGAGGATGCTGGTAACTGAACTCCAGTTCTCAGCAAGAGCAGCAAGTGCTACCTAGCCATCCATATCTCCAGCTCCAGTCACTCATGAGTTTAATAATAATGAAAGGACTTTAAAAAGAAAGAAAGAGAGAGAACGAGAAGAAGGAAGGAAGGAAGGAAGGAAGGAAGGAAGAAGCCAGGCATGGTAGTGCAGGACAGGCAGATCTCTGTGATTTTAAGGCCAGACTGATCTACAAAGTGAGTCCAGGACATCCAGGGCTACACAGAGAAACCCTGTTTACAAAAACAAAACTAACCAACCAATCAAACAAACAAAAAAACAATATCCAAAATATAAATAAATAAATGCAATAAAATAAAAAAGAAAGAAAGAAAGGGAGGAAGAAAGAAGATTGATTTGCACGGCTTTAAATGACATCTGGAGACAACTCAACAGCTAATTATCCACTATGTTCACTCTACCCAGAAATCACTCTGGCTCTACTTTTTGCACAATCACCAAGAAACAATGTAACCTGCTGAGGAGTCTACATGCCATTTACAGTGTAAGGTTAGAAGGTGATTTTTAGAAGCCCTATCATAGGTGACATTACCTCTCAGGAAAAACTGGAAAAGGAAGGAGGTCTCAGCCAGGGCTCAAATGGCAAGATTCAAGCCTTTATGTTTTTGGCAGTGTTTGCCCTAGAGACAAATACATAATCAGGGAGGTATGCAATCTGGTCTGGAAACTCGGGCCAGATAGGATGACAAGGAAAGAGAAGCAATACACACAAACACACATCACCACGAGCGCTCTCATTTGTAAAAACCACATTAATGGATGGCAGCTTCCTACCTCTGAAGTGATTTATAAATTAAAATAATTGCCTCTTTGAACTGTTCTGATATTAATTGACCTATCACTAATGCAAGAACAGTCCCCAAACCATCCAAACATTACCTAAACATTCTTATTCCCTTTATTCTGGAAATTCAAAACCCCACAAAAATAGACCCTCTGTTCTGGTGCCAAGGGTCATAAAGAAAAAGCCATCATCTTTGATGACTTTGCAATTCTTATTCTATGTCTTCATCAAATTAACTCGAAGTGCGATGGTGAGTTCTCAGAACTTGAAGGCTTCCCACCCAGTCTCCCCTTTAGCGGGCCCCTCCTTGAGCACATGGATCCAGCTCTAGCTCAGATGTCTGGTAATGAGAGCAGGGCAATTCATTATTTTTAATTCATTTAGCTTGGATCCATATCCCAAGTCACCTCAGATTTTGGGCGCCTGGCATTTCCTTCCAAGGTAAATGAGAGAGAATTGAAGACTGTGGTCCAGATTTGCACAAATGGTGGCACAGAGCTTGCTCAGGCCACTGAACAGAGGTGACCTTGACCTGTCATGAAAAGGAAAAAAAAACAAACAAACAAACAAACAAAAACCATAGTGTTGAAGATAGGGGCTCCAAGCAGGGGTTCTAAGCCACGGACTTCTAGCCCCTGAAGAAACTAGTAGTCCAGAGACACTTGATTGTTACAGCTTGAGGAGAAAGAAAAACTATTCCTGCCATCAAATGGCTGCTGAGCAGTCTTGAAGGAATATGTCACCTCCTGGGACACAAAGGACTACCTAGCCTCTATGTCAATAGTACCCAAACTGAGAAATCCAGCCCTGCAGTCTAGAAGTTGTGTCTTATGTTGCCTCTTTGTGGTTGTGTGACCTTGGTATGTTTACTTCTTCTTATGTGTATATGTGCATGTTTGGGTGTGTAAACATGTATGCATGTACCTGTAGAGGCTAAGGAACAGAGTGAGAGTGTCAAGTGCTGTCCTATTTTTGTTGTTTTTTGTTTTTGTTTTGCTATAAAATGAAAATAACAGCAAGATACTTAAATTTATTAATGTTCATTCAAGGAAGGTGTAAAGGTTTAAAATATATTCTATTCTTATTTATTTCCTAGTGTGTTTTAAGTATTTGAGGGTGAACTGATTTGTCCTGACTACCTGTGATTTATGGGTAAACTGCCAGCTTAACATGTTTTCAATGAATACTATGTGTCTATATTTATGGAGTTCAGCGCAGTAAGTTAATGTATACATGATGAGTAATGATCAAGTTGGGGCTTTTTGCATTTCCATTTCCTCATTTATCGTCTATGCACTGGGAAGCACTAAGCCCTTCTAGTTATTTTGAATTATATTATGAATTATTATAGGCAGCAATTACCCGATTTTAGCACAAAACATAGGAAGCCATTCCTCCTGTTTATTAAATATACCAATGTTGCTATATTCCTGTGTATTGATAGCTATTACACAGCCTCTTTGTAGCCTCTTTCCCTCCCAATCCCTAATGGCCTGTAGTCTATTTTATGAAGTCAATGTTTTCAGCCTCAACAGTTATTGAGAGAGAGAGAACATGCCATATTTGTCTTTCTGTGCCTGGATCGTTCATTGACGAAAGTGGCTTCCAATTTTATTCATTTGACACAGACAACGACAGCCATTAATT